TGAATTTCCATGGAAGTTGTGGCATTTGTGGTATCACAGGTAGTTGCCACTGAAAGGCGTGGTGACACTCCCCTCACCCTTGGCCACAAGTTCCCATCCTCTTCCATGTGGCAGCGCAGGTACTTGGCAGACTCCACTATTTAGGGAGCTAAACCAGCAAAAGCAAGCAAGCTGCTCAAGTAATTTTTTGCAGAATTGGCTTTTTGTCACTGTGTGTCCCTGAGCTGGCTCGCTGCAGGACCAGATAAGTGCCAGTGCTAACACAAGGGAAAGCAACCGGGGCAAGACTGTCCTGGTACTCCAGCTTAGCCAAATCACATCCTTCAAGAGCCCAGAGCCTGAGACACACAAGAGGACCATGGTTCGTATTATGGCTGCCTTGTGCGGCACGCTCTGGCCTGCTGAGCCCCTCACCTGGGCTGAGCAGATGCTGCACAGGGCTGAGCCCAGTCCAGTTCTCCTCCTCATGGTAGCCACAGTGGAGGGGACACAGTTGATAGGTGTCTGGGTCTCACCCCAAAGTGAAGTTGGCATCTCTTCTTAGCAGCTGTGGACTATTGTGAAGTTGCAGCCGTAAGTCTCTCATTTAACTACAGGGCCAGTAGTAAGGGAGGGAATCCAGTCTGAACCCTGTAAAGGAGGGATGTGTGGTAAGGTGGGGGGACTTTGGACACAAGCTGGTCTATACCCCTTGGCCCTGGCTCAGCGTGTTTTCCATAAGGTCTTTTTCAAGGCAGGTAGGAGACGTAGCCAAAGAGCCTGAGCTCGTAGCGGAGGGGCCAAGGAAGAGTAAAAGTGGCAATCACAAGTACGAAAATGCAACACTGGGACACTGTTTGGGTTTGTATGGCAAAGAGCAAAGCGGCAGCTCGCTGCGCATCACCGGCTCCGTGTGGGCTGTGTCAGCCAGCTCTTGCCTCGCTTGCTGGGAGGCTGGCGGCACCAGGAACCTCTTACTTTGATGGCTGAAGGTGACACTGCATGTTTGCCATGGGGTGAGAGCGTGTGAGCAGGCTGTTTGTGGGAAGCAGCCACTGTGCAGCAACTTGTCACTACGTGGCACATGGTTGGTGTGTCGCAGCAGTGAACACAGTTAAAAGCTTTAGTGAACATATCGTGCTCCCCGGGCAGCTCTGCTCTGCGTATCCCTCACAAAACACAGGATCGGTATAAAAAGACCTGCTCTATGTGTTTTTAACAGTGTTACTGAATATGCCAAGGGCCTTTCACAGTCTGTATGTAGAATGGAGGAGAAACACCTAGGAAGTCATGGGCGGCATTTCTAGAAAGGAAAAATAATCCTGCGTACCAGGGTTGTTATAATCCCTGTTGCATTCAGCACAGATCACGTTCAGAAGAACTTGATGGCCATCTACTGGCGAAGCCCCAGTCTTTGTTTTACTTTGCAGTCTTTTTTGCATCAGAGAGACAAGCACTTGGCCCTGCTTGAGGTGCAGAGATGCATGTTTTCACTTCTAGTTGGAAATAACACAGCTGAAGTTTTGTAAAACACCCTAAACACTCACACTGATTTCGTTCACTTCACCCCATGAGCAGTACTGACTACAGGTGATGCAGCTTATGGAGGCAACCAGCAGTCTCCCAGGATTTCTGTTAGTGTAAGTTCCTACACCAGTACAGAAATTACGCTGTTTTTAGAAATAATGAACTATGAATTGAAAATAAATAAACGTCAACCTGACGGGTCAGAACTCAGTTTTCTTCTTTCAATTTTTCTCTTTCAAACTTGATGTATCAGCAGTAATTTGATGCATCCTGCAGTTTTGCTGGGATGTTACACCTAGTGTCAGTCCTATTGCTAAACCCCACCTCGAGCCTTAAAGGCTGCCTGAGATCTTGGCTGTTAACAGGAGAACTGGCAGCTCCCCCTCTGGGCACCCTGGCAGCTCTCAGCTGCTGATGTGCTTCCAGGTCTTCACTCCGGGCACTCTGTGAGGGACACTTACAGTCAAGAAAAGCTGCTAGGATGTGTTTTTATATATATGCGCATGCATGTGTATGTATTTTTAAATTTATTTCATGTGATTTTAAAACACACCATAAGCAAAAAGAAAAAAAAGTAACTTTAAAAAAAAAAAGTACCTGTGAGTTCCCAGTCATTTCCATTCTCAAAGTCTGCGTCCACCGTGGTGCCATCGAACAGTAGTTTCTGTAGCCCTGTGCTGAGCAGAGCCACCTGGCAGAACACCCATGGCCTTTAAAAGGCAGAAAACACATTTTTGAGGACCTTTTTTTTTTTCTTTATGGTTCTCCATGTGGTCGGTGAGAGCATTTTGCAGAAATTGCTTGAGAAAGTGGAAGATGTCCCTTTACTGCTACATGGCCAAGGGAAAGAACATCAGCAAATCAACTGAAAGTTCCTGTGGGAGGAACTAACCTCAGGAAGCTCAAAAAAGCATCTGTGCTCTTTTTAAGGTTTCCTGTGGTATCTCCATGTAAAACGTCCAACAGCTTGTGCACGGCTCAAACAAAGCTGGTAGTATTGCTTAGGGTCTGGCTCCTTTTCCACCAGTGAGCGTGGCTGCACCGTGGGGACACCCTGAGCCAGCGAGGGGTTAGAGTGCCAGAGGAAGATCACCTTGGAGGTGAGCTCTCACTTGCCACGAGTCCCTTCTGCTGGCTGGTTTGTCATTTAGCCTGCGCTGCTGCGAAAGGAAGGCGTGAGGTTACATTTGCTGGTTCCAGCTGACAGCAACATTTCTCTTCGACGTGCTGAGCAAGCCATGGCTGTGAAGCTTGCGGAGGATGGTGGCAGCACGTGGCACCTTCTGTGACTTACTCACTTATTTTCCCTGGCGTGGAGAGTAGGTGGGATGCTTCGCCTTTTAGAAAGAGGGAGCAATGCGGTTTAGAAGCAGCAGCATTAATCGCGTGCCACCTTCGTGGCAC